TGCAAGGCGGAGATTGCAGTAAGCCAAGATAGCTCCACTACACTCAAGTCTGGTGACAGAGTGAGACTCTGTCTCAACAAAAAAGAATGTTCCATACTCATATGACCCACCAATCTCTTTTCTGGATCTATACTCAAAGGAAATGAAATTATCACCTCACAAAGATATCTGCATTTCATGTTTATTGTAGCCTTATTCCCAGTAGTCAATATATAAAAGCAATGTAGCTGTTCATCACTGGAAAAATGGAATAAAAAACTGTGGCTATGCATATAATGGAATACTATTCAACCTGAAAAAGGAGATCCTGTCGTTTGCCACAACATGGATAGGCTTGAGAGACAGTGTTTTAAGTGAAATAAGCCAGGCACATAAATAAAAATATTGTGTGATCTTATTTACACGTGGAATCTAAAAAAAAGTGCCAAATATGTAAAGGATAAAAGAAAGGTTATAAGGGTCAGGGTAGGGGAGAGAAAATGGGGAGATGTAAATCAAAAGATACAAATAGAAAAAATACAGGATAAACAAGTTAAAAGATCTAAGGTACACCATGAGCACTATAGTTAGTAATGGCGTATCGTATTTAGGATTTTTGCTAAATGAGTAGACAATAACTATCTTTGCCATGAGAAGGGGCAGAATGTAAGGGGAGAATAAATAAGATGATGGGTATGTTAATTTATTCTACTACAGTAACTTGCTATAGTAAGTTCCACTATGTGTGTGTGTGTGTTTGTGTGTGTGTATCTCTTATAACATCATGTTCTATACTTGATATACAAAATAAATTTGACTTTTTTAAAGAATGTTCAAGTCATCAGAATAAGTATGTGTATAGTATTGTAAAGTGTCAGCTCAAAATATAAAGTTATTGGCCCATGCTTTAGTTTCAATATGAAGCTTTTATAACACCAACACATTTTAGAAGACATACAAGAATAATGTCAGTCAAGCTATAGGAGGAGGTTTCGTTGGGAGAAAGACTTGAAGATTATTATCTCTGAATGAAAAGTTGATAGACTCAGGACAAAAATCTTGGGAAAGTTTCAGTCATGTGAGCAAGCTTTATCATGTTTCCCTAAGCAGAATTTAGAACAAGATCACACACCAAGAAATATCAGAACAGGGAATAAAACATTTTTAAAGTATCTCATGCACATCTATTCTCACTCTATTGTTTTTCTTAATAAGAATTTTATAAATGTAGAAACATGTAAAATAAACATTTATAAAGGATGCATTTTTTTGACAATGTACATAAATTAAGAGATATGGAGAGAAATGTTTTGTATAGATGGTATAATGGTTGCACACAAATGTAAACATACTTACTGCTACTGAATTGTGCACTTAAAATGGTTAAAATAGTCAATTTTATGTTGAGTATATTTTACCATGATAGAAAAGAACCAAGTTTAAAGATTAACAAGAGGATATTGAGGTAAAATAATATTATGATGCATTCTCAAGTAGAGCTCAGATAATTTAGAAAAATACAGTGTATCATCACCATATGATGTGCAATATGACAATACTGAACTCAGTTTAGTTATTTAGAATCACTTAGGGAAAATTTAAATGCATTAACAGAATTTTAAGAATAAATTAAGACATGAGAGTTCATCATTTATACTAATATTTGTTTTCTTAAATGGAGTTACTCTATTATCAAAACTGTTGAGATGTTTAGCACCCTGATTTAATCAGGGTGAATTAAATATTATAATATTTTTGCTCTTGTTTAATGTTGTATAGATTATAGATGTTTTTAAATATTTTATAACATTAACTGAAATAATTTGTATAATAAAATAATACAATATGTTAATATAAAAACATTTTAATATTTTACAAATGTTAAGTATAATAAACATAATTGTTTAATGTTTTATAGTCGTAGCTACATTTTGTGTGTTTTAAATACCATTTACTAATCATCTGAAGCATATAAATGAATGTGTCTGGATTTTAAGTCAGAGTAAATTATTTCATAGTTATGACAAATAATTGTCACATACACTGCTTTTAAAAGAACTATTATTTCTTGGTTTATTTCATGGAATAAATGAATTTATACTGTTTAGAATATGTCAATTTATATTGTTTAGAAATAAACTTGCCATATCCACTTAGAGATGCTGGGGATGTTTGTAAAACAGCAGTATCAATGCAGAAATCTTTTTATTTTCTCATTTCAAATGAAACACACAATTATCTCTTTTTCACTTCATAAATATTTAAGCACCAGAGGTTTTGATGAGAGTCTTCTTTTCAGAATTGTTTTAAGCTGCTTTCTACACTCAAATGTGGAAAATTTCAGATAATATTAGTTTTTCAAGCATTTTATTTAATAACAGCAAATAAATCATAAAGGGAAGCTATATGGCTGGAACAAATGGAGACTATTTCTGAGAAATTGCAATTATCCTTGATTTTTGATTTACACTTATCTACCACAAGGTGATAAATTTGACAAAAAGTCTTCTTAATGGTTTCTGTGCATGAAGAACTAGTTTTCATTCTCTTAATGAAGCGCTTCATCATCCACTCTTTTCCTGCCTAGTGGTCTGAGGCCTTGTTAGTATGAAGACTTCTGTCTCCAGTGAAAATCGATGCTTCAAAAATCTATTACATAGCTTATGACAGAATTGTTTCACTGTTAGTCCTAAATAGTAAACTTATAGAAATATAAATACAAAATTATAAATGTTACATTACATATTCACATACTGTATGGTAAAACAAGCTTTTTAAAGACACTAGGATATATCCAAAGTTGACATTGGCCAAGTGAAATCAAGGGAAGTGTATTTTTTTGGATCATAAATTTGTTTGGTAGTCATTTGCCCGTAACAATTACATTCTTAACTCATTCTTCATGTTTAAATTTATCTTTCTTTGATTCTCATCTCGCTTTTTCAAGGTTAGATATGGTTTTATCTACAGTTATTTTACCAATATTAAACCCTTAATGTTAAATGCTTAATTCTCTCTCTAAGTGAGAATACTCACTCTTATTCTGAGTATATAAACTTACCTTCTTTATAGTTTATCATTGTAATCAAGTAAGTGACCTTTCACATGCTCTTTCTTCACTAATCTCTATACACTCTCTTTTCTCATTATTCTATCCCTCTTGCCCCTGAGGAGTGTTCTGCACAAGCTGAAGAGATCTAAGAGACATGCATTGTCCGTACTTCCATTTCTGGTCAGATTACCCATTAGAGCAAACTTCAAAAAGATACATAATTATATAAGACAAAAAATAACCCATAGTGGCCCCATCTGATAAAATGAAACATTTTAGATAATTTTCCTTTATTATTTTTATATATTCTGCCTATTGTCCAAACCTCCTTAATTCCTCCGGAACACTATGCATTATAAACTTCATTGAACAATTTCTTCAACTTCTTTTTTTTTTTCCAATTTACCCCGCTTTTCTACAAATATATATGTGATTTTTTTCACAGCTAAAAAATAGCCACAAAACTTCCTTTTAGATGATATTGTTAAACATTTTCTTGTCTTTACTGCCGCATTTCTTGAAAAATCTCTTGTATGGTAAGGTGTAATTTTTTCCTCATGCACTCACTTTTAACATTTGACAGACTGGCCTTTGTTCTCCAAAATTCCACCCAAATCAGAAGAGCTTCTTTGTCCTAAACCACTCTGGATTCTCCTCAGCCCTGATACTCACTTCTTAATGGATAGCTCAAAGGACTGATTCTGTCCTTATTACACTCTACCCTTTCTTCAGGTTTACAGAAGGGAGTGACTCCCTGCTTTAGTCCTTTAATTTTTTGATGACTTCTGCTCCTTTTTGGCTTAATGAAGATGATAAGAAATTAAGGGAGAATGGGGGCTCAGTTGTTAGAAAGTTTTGCAGATTTTGCAGGTCCACTTTTGTTAAGAAACATTAACAGACTTTATGTTTCTAGGCAACATTATTATACAAAATTATTATTTAACATATCTCATTGGTATACAGATTTTAACACAAACTTCTTAGGAAGTATCAATTTTAAAATGTTTAACTTATTTGAATGCGTAGTATCTGAAATGTATAGTTTTCAAATGGATGTCGATATTTAAAAATTAATTCACAAATTTAAAATGTAGCTTAGTTCAGTATGAGAACAATTCTTCATTATTTTAAGTTCACATGATACACCACATTAAATTCAGTTTGCTATATGATTTAATGTAGTACATAAAAACTGACAAAATAACCATCATTGTGAGGTACCTGCTCCAACTGTGACACGGAAAGCCTATTTTGATAATTGATAAGTGGCTAAGTCTCCTTAGCAAAGTATTTGGCATCCAGAAATTGATTGTTTAGAAATAGAGAGACCATTTATTTAAAAGGAAAGACAAAATATTCCATGTGCATAGCCTCCTGCCCTTCTTGTGCTACTCATATTATATTTGGATTTGAAAACTGCCATTTCTTTTTAATTAAAAATGGGACTGGATTTGTAGACACAGGCAAACAGAACCAATGATCTTGGTATTGCAAGTTTGTTAAGTCTCTCCTTTCTTCCATTACAAGCATAAGTCTCTATTAATCTAAATCAAGCATTCATAACCCTTATATATATAGCAACAGAAGCTCCAGGATCTTACCATGTATCGTTAAGGCCTAAAACTAAATATAATTGAACCCATCCAATAATTTTGAAATGAAAAGCTATTATAGCTGGAAGAATTTTTTTAAAGTAGACTTTTGAAAATTTTAAATAAGACAAACAGTGACTGCCAACCTAACAAATTTGACCTTTATAAAGATATGTTAAAAGGTTTATTTTACACAAAGTTCACTTAAAAGGAAATCATTCTTCAGCAGCAAGGTAAGATCTGATTTCTTTGCTTAACATGCATCGCACTGAATCTTTATGGCTGTATTAGAATATGCAACTCCCCATGCCAAGATTTAATTAAAGTTTAAATATTTGAAGGGCTGGTGATAATGTTGCTTCTAATAAAAAATTTACCTGTCTTGGGATCAATGGAGAAATAAGGTTGTCCCTGAAGAATGCTGTAAACGACTCTGGCACTGTTTCCATAGGTCGGGTCATCTGCATCTGTGGCTTTGACCTGGAGTACATATGCGCCTGGAAAATAAGACAAAATCACTTTGGCGTTTTTGTTTTACCATGTTCAAAGTCATGTCCCCTTTCTATCTGCTGGACTTGATTTTCCTTTGGAATTTCGCCTGTGTCAAGTATGCCATGAGTACATGATGTCACTGAGGATAGTTTAACCATTATAACCAAAACGTTGGGCAAGGATATAACTGTTAGTGTAAATGACGACTTTAAATATTTATTTTTAAAGCAGTGTCCATTTTCAGTAGCTAGATCATCGAACTGAAAGTCATCATGACACCTTTATTGATTGGCACGTCAAAGAAAGCATGGATACCACTTATATTAGCTCATCTGCTTACTATTGATGTTTTAATTTTATAATTAGTATATCGATAAAGAGGCTAAAAGGTTTAGGGTGTACAGAACATTAGAGGCTGTTAAGTAATTTGCAATTGCAATTTAAAAATTAACAGCTACCTACTAGCATTAGGAAGCCTTTAATTAGAAAAGGAATATTTGAGAAATTGAGAAACCATAAATAATTACAAAATAGCTACAGGAGCACTTCTTTGCCTCAAGATTGAATTAACCTAAAGATTCAGTGACATAGGAAAACACTACAAACAATCTGAATGATCTGCAGCGTTCCTATATATATATATATATATATATATATATATATATTGACATGGGTATATTGTTTTCTTTGCTAAAAGAAGTTGAAAGGAGGTTTTCTCTGTATTTTCCTTATCTGTTCATAAGCACATTAAAATCAGTCTCTAAAAAAGTTTAGAGTATCTCTTCCTAATGCCCTGCTCATTATTACTATTCTGAGTTCAGAACAAAGTGAAATCCAAGGTACCCAAATTGTAGCAAACACAATAGACAAATGTACCCACACGTACACATGTATATCCAAAGTTACACAGTGAGTAAAACTCCCTTAATCTGTTGTAGGCGTTCAAAGTAACTGTTCTGTTTGGGGAAAATAGGATTGTTCCCTTTCATTCAATTACTCATTCAGCTTTTTCTCTAAGAGTACAAATTTGGAACAAACCATATCTTCATAAATGACTATAGAAGCTAAAGAAATGAATTATTTTTTCACTTCTACCATTTCTTTCTTTCTTTCTCTTTCTTTCCTTCCTTCCTTCCTTTTCTTTTCTTTTCTTTTTCTTTTTTTTTTTTTTTGAGACAGAGTCTTGCTCTGTCACCCAGTCTAGAGTGCAGTGGCGTGATCTCGGCTCCCTACAACCTCTGCCTACTGGATTCACGTGATTCTACTGCCTCAGCCTCTGGAGTAGCTGGGATTACAGGCACGCAGCACTGCACCTGGCTAATTTTTGTATTTTTAGTAGAGACGGAGTTTCACCATCTTGGCCAGGCTGGCCTCGAACTCCTAACCTCGTGATCCCTCACCTCGGCCTCCCAAAGTACTAGGATTACTGGTGTGAGCCACTGCAACCAGCCTACCATTTTCTTTTAATAAAATGTTAGGGTTGTGACTAGAGTGAGAAATAATAACTTTCTGTAGATATTCAATGCCAAGACTTAACAGATGAAAAATATATAACAGCAGCCTTTTCCAGGAAAAGAAACTTTTAGATGGAACTTTTAGAGGGAATGTAGGAAAACGTTATTAAGCAGTCAGGAGTGAAGGCTAATATTATCCGTCATCATCATCAACATTATTACTCTCATTAATCATAATCTGACCAATGTTTATTTCTTTTTCTTATTTTATTTATTTATTTATTTTTCTTGAGACAGAGTCTCCCTCTTTCGCCAGGCACCAGGCTGGAGTGCAGTGGCACGATCTTGGCTTATTGCAACCTCCGCCTCCCAGCTTCAAGCAGTTCTCCTGCCTCCGCCTCCCAAGTAGCTGGGACTACCCGCCACCACGCCCAGCTAATTTTTGTATTTTAGTAGAGACAGGATTTCACTATATTGGCCAGGATGGTCTCGATCTCTTGATCTCGTGATCCGCCCACCTCTGTCTCCTAAAGTGCTGGGATTACAGGAATGAGCCACTGTGCCTGGCCCAATGTTTATTTCTATGTAACATTGGGTACCTGTATTAAAGATTCAGTAAAACTACCTTTCTTTAATGCTATAGGAATAAACAGTTTATTAAGAGTATAGTCCTCTGGTATCAACAGTATTTTTTCTCAGATTCTTCATCTGGATGTCTGCTATCCCTCCACTATGGATGTGTTATATAGGCAAGTCTACAAATATTCACTACTGCCCTAATTCTAGACAAAAATATTGCAGTTGAAAAACTATAAGTTGTCCTACACATTGGATACATTTAAAGAAAACAAAAGTATTATAATTAGTTACAAATAGGAAATAAAAATATTTGAGAAATAAGAAATACTTAGCGACAACATTTATAAAATTTGACAAGCCGATACCATATTGCAATGTACAGTGGGGAAAACAAAGATGAACACATATCTTCACTTTTACACTTTTTGTTTTTTTGTTTTGTTTTTACATTTTGTTTACATGAACCTCTGCTATGCCGAACAAATATTTTCTTCCAATAGTTGTATTAAATTATTTATGTGGCCGGGCATGGTGGCCTACACTTGTAATCCCAGCACTTTGGGAGGCCAAGGTGGGCGGATCATTAGGTCAGGAGATGGAGACCATCCTGGCCAACATGGTGAAACCCCATCTCTGCTAAAAATACAAAAATTAGCTGGGTGTGGTGACACGAGCCTGTAATCCTAGCTACTGGGGAGGGTGAAGCATGAGAATCGCTTGAATCCAGGAGGTGGAGGTTGCAGTGAGCCAAGATCGTGCCACTGCACTCCAGCCTGGCGACAGAGGGAGACTCCGTCTCAAAACAACAATAAAAAAATTACTTATGTTAAATAATTTTTATAGCTCAAATAAAGGAGTGAATTAGAAAATGCTTCACTGATGCATCAAGGCTGCAAATATTTTTTTCATATAATCCCAGTTTCTGCTACTTTAAAGGATCACTGGATAGCAAGAATAACCACATTCCTATTATATTTCTTCAGCTTTATCTATAGAATTAAAAATGATTGTACACTGAATTACAGTATAGGTTAATCCCTCTTTAATGAAAGAGCAGACTCCAAAGTCAATCCTTCAAAAGTTCTTGAGGATTGCCTCTCTGGGTGTTTACAAGAATGCAATTAAACACCGCTATACCAGCTTATTTTGTCAGCTGCTTAATGACTGTCACCAAACTCATGCAAAAGTCACAGATTTCATACTCTTTCCATTAAGAAGTCTCAATCAATTTCGTGGAGCATGAAAATCTCCAAGGACTACCTTTTTCCGTGCTTGGATAGCACACCAGCTGTTCCTGATGCTATTGAACACTAAATACCCAGGAGGAAAGAGCAGGAGGTTCTGGTTGGGGCATGTTTAATGTGCCACAAGCAAATAATATGGTCAATGATTTGCCCAGAATCTGAAGTAGTCTTGTATGTAGCAGTCAGCCTGAAATTTATTCTCTTAACACTCAAATCCAGGGGGTGACAGTATCACCACTGTAAATGGTGAAATGCAGAGAGAGAATGTAGCTCACAGAGAAAACACTCTTGTGTAAGTGGTCAGAGCCAGAGAGCAGAATTTGCAATGGAGAGTATCAAGTCACTTCAAGTTCCCAACACTGTTTTGATCAGTAATAGATAAGTGTATTTTTAGTAACAGTTAAAGCTAGCACTAAAAGTTATTTTTTTAGTAATAGCTAAATTCTATATCTTGAACAGTCACTCAAAGGGAATAAATATTTATAAAACAATGATAAAGCAAAGAACAGAAAAACTGACCATTGAATATGACGGAAGTCTGATGACTAGGTGTCAGGAGATGCCCACTTGATACAAACTGCAACTAAATAAGTGATCACTAACATTTAAATGACTATGAGTTAGAGATCATATGAGACCTGATTTGGATGTTGTATTGGTCAGCTCAGGCTGTAATAACAAAACACCACAGGCTGAGTGTTTTAAACAACAGAAATCTATGTTCTCACAGTTTTGGACACAAAAAGTTTAAGATTAAAAAGCAGAAAAAATGGGTTTCTGATGAGACCTCTCTTCCTGGCTTCTCACTGTGTTCTTCCATGCCCTTTCCTCTGTGCTCACATAGAGAAAAAGAGACAGAGACAGACAGAGAGAGGGAGAGGAACAGGGAGAGGGAGAAGGGAGGGGGAGGGGGTGAGGGAGACGGAGAAGGAGAGAGAGGGAGAGGAAAAGAGGGAGAGAGGGAGAGGAAGGGGGGAGGTGGGGGGGAGGGGGCGGGGGATAGGGAGATGGGGACGGAGAAGGGAAAGGGAGGAGGAAGAGGAAGGGGGGAGGGGGGAGGCGGGAGGGGGGAGGTTGGGGGAGGGGGAGGAGCTCTCTACTGTGCCTTCCCTTTTTTTTTAATAAGCCCACCAGTTTTATTGGATTAGGACTCACCCTTATGACTTCATTTAACCTTAATTACCTCCTGAAAAGGTCTGTCTCCAAATACAGGCACATTCATGGTTAGGGAACCTACATATAATTTGTGGAGGATTCAAGTCAGTTCATAACATATCATTTTAGTACACAGATATGTATATGTGAAACTATATGTAGAAATTAACAATTTAGTAAAGCATTATGTATTTCTATGTTGTAAAATTATAGTCATAACATACTATGATGTCATTATTTTGCAAGCAAAGGTTCATACCATAATAAAATTCTGATAAATAAACTCAGTAAAGAGGGAAACATTACCTAGAAGAATTAATTTAAATTAAAGTCAATGTTCTTTTGTCCAATTTATGTTGAAAACACTAATATAAAGCAGTGTTTCACTTTTTAGATTCAGTTTTAAGAATTCATACATATAATATCTTGTCTAGTCAGACAATACATTTACACATACACAAATGCACAAAATGGTTTAATAGTTTCTAATTACTCCTCTCAAATTAATGGGTATATGAAGTGCCAGGCACACTGTCCAAGGTGCCAGGGAAACAGCGTGAATAAAATTGAGAG